TTACAATCACACAATATTCGGTAAGAATAATAGTTTTGGTTGTTCAAAAGAAACAAGAGTCTAGCCAGCGCTCCACTCTTCAGTTGACAATCTGTACTCTCAAATGATAAAAAGCATCAAGACCGTTGTTACAAATTTGCAGGTCCTATTATTTTCAAGATGTAAATACAAAGATTTATCCACAAAATGTTGGTTTTCACAATTTTAGAGTTGAATCAGTGTTATTGAAAAATACATAATATCAGAGAGCGAGAACATTACTTATGAGAATGTAGAATAGCAATACAATGGTCCAGTAGCGATTGCATATGAGGCCACAAGTGGTCAAATGAGTATACAAGATTACGTACAGGCATGGAGTCTGAACACAAACTAAACTGTTATCTGCAGAAATATGCAATAAAAAGGCATGAGGGAGAACGAGTTCAGAGCCCCCAACTAATTTCTATTGTAAACCTATAACATATCCACATGAAAAATAAGATGGGGACAGCACTGTGCATAAAAAGTAACCACCACCAGCTGGTTAGTAGGTGGAAGTAATAATCCCGACAAAGAGAGAAGGAAGACAGGACAGGGTAAGGCCGAGAGGGGCCTACCAAGAAACAAAGCAAAGAAGAAAACATAAATAGGCATAGAAGAAGGGGAGTGATAGTGAAAGAGGGGGTCCAATCTCACCCCGGAAGTGTACATGCCACATGGTCTCGTAGATTTATCAGCAAACCGGGGTTCTAAGGCGAGGTTTGGCAAGTTATAAAAAGGAGTGAAGCTCCTGTGAGGTCGAGAAATGCAGCCATACACTCCATTGGGTCATAAATTTAGAAAAAGTACCAGTATCGGTGGCCATGAGTTCCTCCATCCTCATGATGTCATTAACATGACTAACCCATAGCAAGAGGGGAGGGGTTATCGCTTGCTTCCAGAAGAGGGGGATCACCTGTCGGGCTGCAGCCAATATATGTTTAAATAGGCTATTCCTTTGAGCAGTCCGCGGGCTAGTTAGAAGGGATAGCAAGGCAATTTCAGGAGAAGGGTGCAATGTGTCTACGTATAGATGGTTAAAAACCGCAAAAATTTGTCTTCACAATTTTAGAGGAGCATGGGGTAGAATCAACAAGTAAGGGAACAAGTAAAGTGACTTACAAGCATATGACAGTTGCTTTGTTTTTAGTTGGCTCAAGTGGCAAGATCTTTTCTTTGCGAGGCTTAAACACTCTAGATGGCTACTGTTTTAGGGAAACAGGCAAATGTACAGATTATAAAAATTGACAAAAGTGGCATCAGCTTTGTCTGTCTGCACCAGTCATGTCATTTCCCCTCATCATTGACATACACATTCAGCCGACATAAATGTTCAGGTTTATTGGCCAGCCAGGCAATGGAGGTCAAGCTTTGCAAACTGGGCATTGTTTACATTCCTCTGATTAGTGGCATCAGCACATCAGGCACTAAAGCCACAACAGGGCTCGTCCAAACGCTTTGAGTCTGTATTCAATAACAAGGTGAACAAAGACTGTAATCCCTGCATACAAAATAGCTTTATTGATCCAATGAATAGACCTAAATTCGGAGCCTTCCCTTCCAGAAGGCAGACGAAAGGCATCCAGGCAAGAGTCCTGTTGGTGTATTCATTGGATCGATAAAGATCTTTTGTGTGCCAGGATTAATATGTGTGGTCACTTATTAAATACAGGCATTGGTGGTATTTGAAGGCAGTTAGGTTGTGCATGCCCATGGGCACATTTAAATGCAGTTTTAGTTTTCTATGACTCCTCTACTTTCCTATAAAAGCAGTAGTGTGTCTAAATATAACTGTGCAGTCCAATAGGTAGCAGAGTTAGACCATACTGCCCTGTGTAATCTGTAATCTAACAGATCAGTTTAGACATTGTTTATCAGGATTGCACAGCTCAGTCAGTTGTGTGTGTAAATATCAGTCTGGGTATTTGAGCTCTCTATGGCCCCTTTCACATATGTTGATCAGGAGGGAATCCGTGCACAGCTGTGACATCCATGTCCGTCCCGTTTTTTCCTCCAACTAGCGATGGAGGAAATAGCTAAAAGTGCCTGAACTCATGACTATGGTAGTCAGATGTAAAAGTACACAGGTCCATTTACATGAGATTGCCCCTGAGCTGGCACGATCAGGTCCGGCGAAACAGAACTCTGTTCCGTTTGTTTTTCCGGACCTGGACGGAGTCGGGGTTAACCGGGTGTAAAGGGATGCCCATCTGTTTAGACTCGGCAGCCCAAATCCATATGGAAAACTGACAGGCAGACCCAATCTGACTGCTCATGTCAAAGGGTCCTAAACTCCATGTTTTATTTCAGCAAAAGCAGATATGGATAGCCTGGAAAAAAATTGAAATTGGGGAAGAGCTCCACCTTCATATTTACTTGGGAAAAAAAAAAAGTATTTTTTTTAAATTGCATTTTTAAAATAGTTTTAAAATCATTATAACCACATATTTTATTTCTCCTACTTTCTGAAATGGCAGCAACACAATAATTTAAGAAATAAATGGGTCTATTCACAAAGCAGCCGAAGGACCAGGACCCCTTCGGTTCGGTAGAACCGAAGGGCTGCTGTACGGGCTATTCACAATAGCCCAAACAGCTCCCGAACCTAGCCGAGTTTATTTTATTTTTTCTATTCTGACACGGCTCCGTTTCAGAATAAAGAAAAAAAAAAGAAAAAGCAGTGTCTCTCTCCTGGGTGGCCGGGAGCGGGAGCGCCCAGGAGAGTTTTTGTTTTGTTTTTTTCTGACGGCAGCAGAACCGCCGGCCAATAGAAAACTGCTGTAATTGCTAGTTCCGCACAATCGTTTTCTATTTACTTTTTTGTACTATTTTGTTTTACTATTTGAAGCCCAAAGAGCATCGGGTTCAAATTTGGACACAGATGGGTTGATTTACAAAAGGCAAATAGGCTGTTCACTTTGCAAGGGAATTGTGGTGACATTTCACTTTGCAAAGAATACCCAATCATGTGCAAAGAAAATGTAAATAAAAAAAACACTATTTCTGTTAGGACATGATTCGATAAAGAAAGTCAACAGAGCTTCACCTCATTCACTAAGCCAGTGGCATCACAAGGGGAGTGCGGGGGGTGTGGCCTGCACCCGGGTGACACCATTGGAGGGGTGACACCAAAATGACAGTCATTTTGGTGCCACCCCCTCTAAAAAGTGTCTGGAGAGAGGAGGGAACCCGGGGGCATACCTCATCCTGCCGGGTGAACGTCCCCTCCTCTCTCTGCCGGCGTCCATCACCAAGATGCCCGCCAGACGGCGTCAATTAGATGACCGCTCATGCGCAATGACGTCATCGTGGGGACATCACGTGCATGCGCCATGAAGTCACTGCGGGGTGTCACCTGATCTACGCTCCAGGTGTCACCAAGCCTCGGGACGCCCCTGCACTAAGCTAAAGGGAAAATTCTCCTTCAAATTGCAAATTGCTTTGTAAAGTGAACAGCCTGTTTTTCTTTAGTAAATCAACCCCCCACTCTCTAAGATGCCTCCATCTTGAATATATGGTGATGCAATTATCGGCTATGATCGTTACCTTCACTCATAGCTCCTTTTGTCAACTACTGCTTTATAAGAGTTAAAGTCAGGGGCGTAACTAGAAATCACAGGGCCCCATAGCAAAATCTTGTATTGGGCCCTGTGATTTCTAGATAAGTCCACCTGAAAACACCCAAACAGCCCACCTGAGGGTGACCCTGCAGAGCCCACCATGGACTTACCTGTCTGGCCAATTACCTGTCTCCGCCTCTTTCTCCTCCACGATTGTGCACGGGCCCCGCCTCCCCTGTCACTGGGCCCCACCTCCTCGATCGCCGGGACTGCCTCCCCCTCGCTAAAACCTGCCTCCTCGATCGCTGGGCCCCGCCTCCTCCATCGCTGCCGACCACTGGCCCAACCTCCCCCGAAGCTGCTGGTTGTCATCGACTCAGCAGCTGTGAGGAGGTACGCGCCGCTGCACATGTGAATGGCGGCATGTTTCTCCTCACAGCCGCCAGTGACAGCCAGCAGCCTGAAATGCCATAGTGACCCAGGCAGCCCGCACGGCATCAGGGGGATGTCCTGGGGGGGGATCCCTGCAGGGAGCTGTGAGTGACAGTTACGGCTCTCTGCAGGGATAGATCGAGAAGTGAGCGAGCGCCGTTATGTGTTCGCTCACTTCCCGATCTATTGAACCGACCTGTGACAGTTTCATTGTCACAGGTCTGCTAGAACTATGAGGCTGAGTGATTTTCACTCGCCTCATAGTTCTCCTTTAACGAGAAGCCTCACAGAATAAATTTAGCAGAAAAGCATTTCAAATCCTTAAAGTGACACTAAACTCAGGAGTTAAATCTTAAAAATACATTCAAGTACCTGAACTATTAACAAAACTGTACTTTATTTGTGTATCACTCGGCTGTAGATCCTCAAATCATCTCTGAAGTGGTGCTGACACTGTCCTACCTTCTAGAGGGGTTTAAAGTTTTATATTTAATTAAAGAAAAGTTGGCTGCTGTGGCCTTTAAACTCCATATAGGTCTGGCGTGTCTTATTTGGGAACAAGGGAGTGTAAGTGTGGTGGGAGGACAGGCCACGGTAAGCAAGGTGGGGGCAGGTAAGAACGGTATCCCTCTAATATACCCTCGTCATGAGTTTAGTGTCACTTTAAAGGGAAGTAGAAACTGAAGCTGGATAGACTATGGAAGCCACAGACATGATTCTCACCAATCCAGCTCATTGTTTTTAGGACTGGGTGATGATCTGTCCTATCTGTGGGTGGCAGCAGACACCTCCAGTCTTGTAAAGTCTACAACCAGCTTGTATCCCCCACACAGACTGTTGATTTTAAAGATAATGGAACCAAACAATGGTATTCAAAACAGTCAATTTGCTTTTCAGTGTAAGAGGGGGGTTGGTATAAAATTAACCAGTGTAAACAAAACTCTGAACTTTTACTTTGAGGGAATCTATTACACAAAGAGCGGAGTCGCAGGAGTCCAGGTAAGGCATGCTAACACCATTCTAACACAAAATAGCCTAGACACATGTAAATAACCATGAACATATTAATATATTTGGCAAGACGTAACATCCTTGCTTACATCTTTTATGTAAAACTAGTAAAGCACAATCTAAACTGCTTTATAGTAGATCTAAACTCTAACTGGATCACATTTAGTTTGCTAAACACTGTGGGGGAAATTTATCATAGCAATTGCGAGTGTTTGAACCTGCAGGGAATATATTTGATGCACTTTGCGCCAGATTTATGTTGCTAGTGTAATGTCTTTGATAAATGAGGTTAAATAGGCTCCAGCAAAAGAAGACTGGTAACCCCAGGCAAAAATCTTAACTGTCGCTTCTTGAAGAAGTGGTCATGGGGACTTCTTAGGTTGCGATTGTTTTGTTAGGTGATGCCAAGTTTAAGACAGCCGCATGACAAATGCAGATGTAAACAGTTGCAAACTTTCATAAAACAGTCACAAACCTGGCGGAATTGGAGAAATAGTGCAAGCTCTGGTCAAAACCGGCACATATGTTAAAAGACAGATTTGCACATAAAAAAATCATCTAAGAGGCTAAAACTGTCGCAATTGCTTTGATAAATTCCCACCTGTATATCATAAATACATGTCTAAACACTATTTATCATAGACAAATGCCTTTCAGTCACTTCCTGTCTACATGCATTTGCTCACCTGCACTTTATTACTTTGCACCAGATTCCTAATATTGACAATCATGACAGTATGCAGGATAAATAGGAATGAAACTCCTAAACTCAGGAGTTAAATCTTAAAAATGTATTCAAGTACCTTAACTAATAACAAACATGTATCTTATTTGTGTATCACTCGGCTGTAGATCCTCAAATCATCTCTGAATTGGTGCTGACACTGTCCTTCCTTCTGGAGAGGGGCTACTTTTGTTCCCCATGGTCCCTGTGTGTGCTGTAAAGTATCCACCGCTCCAAGCTCACTCCTGTAATAGACTATGAGGGTTATTTACTAAAGGGTGAAGAGTTTGGAGAAGGCAGGAGAAGTGAACAATGTAGGCCAACAAAGCTGATTTGGAAATATTCTCCTATTTAGCTCACTTTCCAGTTCTGCTATTTTGGCCTAGATTGCTGATTTGGCAGGCTTCGGCTTTCAGCGCGGGGCATATGCGTTCGGCTCGACTGAGCCGCTCGGCCATGTTCGGGAGCTGTACGGGCTATAGTGAATAGCCCGTACAGCATCCCTTCGTTTCTACTGAACCGAAGGGGTCCTGGGACCAAAGCTAGCCGAAGGATCGGCCGAAGCTACGGCTAGATCCTTCTGCAGCTTAGTGAATAGACCCCTTAGTGGCTCTAAAACCCGCACGTTTTTAACTCAAATAGGTATTCTGCCATTCCTTATTGCCTGCTGTTTATGAACAGATAATTGATTTTCCATGACATCATTCATAGATTCATATACTCTCTGATGAGCAGCATGTGCTGGAATCATATCAGGAGCAAAGGGGAGGGTGTTCATAAATTTGCATTATCATAAAAACTAAAGCTGGCTGTGCACCGTTAGAATATTGCTCGAAAATATTAATTTTACAAACGCTCTTTTGATTTTCTAATAGTTAAATGGTTACTGGAGTTAGATCAATGATCAATGTTGACTGTGGTGAAGCAGGCTGGAAATGTTTTGTTCAATCAATGAAATCCTAACAGTGAATATGGTTTTCATTTAATATTATTATTATTATTAGTATTATTATTATTATACAGGGTTTATATAGCGCCCACAGTTTGCACAGCGCTTTACAATATAAGGAAGACATTATAATTAAAATACAATTCAAGACAAGATGGTGTAAATAAATACTCCATTTATTTACAAAATTGATTGTTAAATCCAAATGAAATTTCAAACAAGATTCTAAAAGTCTCTGATGGTATTATTGAATGTTCCAACCATATTTTGCATCCGAAAGTTCGTAAGGAAACCTAATAGTGCATGGCCAGCTTTACTGAATGCATTGGATTGCAGGACCCTAATTAAACAAGCACCTGATTGTGAAACTATTAAGTGCCCTTTGCTCAGGCATCTAAGGCTTGGAAGTTGTATTAGTATTGTTTTCATTATTGCTGCTCCTAGTATAGAACTCTTCTGCTAAATGCCTAGGGGAATTATTCCTAGGAGTGGAGGCAGCCTGCAATACATTTTATTGGAATAACCTTTATTGTTTACAGCACAGCCTGCACAGACTCGTCCCTCGCACTAGAAGGATAAGTCTATTCAGGTTGTGCTGTGAACAATAAAGTTTACTGCAGGATCATAATTTAGTGTGCAGATGCCATGTTGAACTCCGGTGCACTGGGTTTGTCAAGCCACAGTTGTTATTATACAATGGCTTTACAGTTCCAGCTTGTAAAAAATGAGTAGGACAATTTGTAAAAAGCCCCATGGGCTCCCAAGGCGGCAGGGGGGATTCTGGAAGGTGCACAATCAGTGGAGGAGGGTTCTGGTGGAGAGTGACCTCACTAAGCCAGGTTTGGAGATGTATAAGGGCTTTGTATCTCCCAACCCAGCTCTTACCAACCTGGGCTGCTCTGGTCAGAGTCCCACTGAGCTCCTGGAAACCAGATCGGCCCAGGTTGTTAAGAGCTGGGCGGGGAGGTGTGTATGGCCCTAAAACATCTACCCGCCTGGCTCTTAGCAACCTGAGACACTCTAGCTGGAAAGGGGGTACACTGCAAACATTGTGCAGCAGAGCGGCCATGCCACTCTGCCTGCCATCCACCACATGACCCATTGAAATGCCACCTGAGGCATGAGGAGGAATGATAGAAACAAAGGTGTGACAGACTGCTATATGCAGCACATTTAAGTTGTTTTTTTTTTTTTTTGCTCCAGTTTTCATAAAACAATCCCAAAGTATAAATGATTATGCTGAATAAGCTCAAGAATTTATTGTAAGTATGTATTTCATTTTTCTGATTTTCAGTGTTAAATGCAGATGGATTCCAGGGTCTGCTTCTTTACTTTGCTCATAAGTTGTCTTGTAGCAAAGGCCTCTTCATGCTTTTGTGAACATTATCCATGGAGCTCTTGGTCAGCATGCACCAGAACCTGTGCTTACGGAACACAGAGCCGGTCTCGGTAAGTTCGGAATAGCAGTCATTTACCAACTACCATAGCAATGGACAGTAACACAAGTGCTATTGATATAATTTTGTACTATAAGATGTTATTCACTGAGCGGGGATAACATACTGTACATGACCATAACAGATTTTAAGATGTTGAGACACTTTTGGCTAGATATATAAAGGTGTAAATGTATTTACCCCGAGGTCACAGCAGATGACTTCAAGATGGCATAATACACCATATTAAGATGTCCCAGCCCACTTACATAGCTGTGATGCTCCAGGCACATTCAGCTCTGGGTAGTTTAGTTTTCTAGGGTGTTAAGGAAAATGACTTGGCCACCAGACACTTTGTAGAACAAATTTGTAAAAAAAAATATTGCAGACTGCAAAATATGGGACTATGGTGGGGAATAATGCCCACAGTCATAAACTCAAGCTTCCTCATGTTTCCTGGGTTCCCACTGGTGTTGTCCGTTAGCTCCAACCACTAAAATGGATCTGTAAAAACTGGCATATTTATTCCCTTTAGTAGCTCTGTACACACTAATATTGTGTTGTAGTGGGATCAGGGTTTCCCAACTATTGTGTATGCACAAAATATCACGTGTGGGTTTTTCCAGAAATGCATGCAAGGAAAAAAGGAAGTTCACTTTTTCAAGATTCTGGACAGTTGCAGCTTCTGTTTGTGTAACACATGATGACTGTCATTAGTTGTATTTGCCACTTGGTCCACATGGCATTAGCCGTACACTGTTCCCCGAAATAACTTTATCTCTTACTGACCTTTCTTGATCCTCACAAAATAACTTAAAATTCATCTCCTACTGTCCACTACCTACCACCCTCTTACCCCTTAACCACCAAACAGCAACTTCAGTTTCCATTGCCCCCTACAACAACATTATTAATAACAAAAAAAAAGTTCAATAACAAAGTACTTTTGTACCATATATGACTGAACAAATACAGATGCAATACAGGTGCAACAAACCCAGTATTCATTTACTGCTCTTGGTTATAGAAATTTCGTCTATGATGAACACTACAGGCAGAATAATTGTGGTCAACTGTGCGCAAAACATGAGAGCCGATCTTGTAATGAAGAACTGTGTGCCATCAACTGTCGACTTGGGGACTTTGGATCTTGGTCTGATTGTGACCCATGCCTCAAAAAGCAGGTACGGCCCTTGTAAAGATATACATCTGAGCTGACTCTTTCCCTACAATAGATGCTATCACTCCTTATTTTTAAATAATGTACAGTAGGAGTTTACAGTTTGCAACCAGTATAATAATACAAAGTGAGCCAAGACAGAAAAGTAATAGAAAGTGGCAAGTTAAAGTAATTTAATCAAGTAAAGCAAACATGGATTGTCCTACAGATTGTTACCGGTATGTAGGTAGACAATACCATATAAGTGGACCTGTGCTTTAATTGTTAATAGACAGTGCATCAGCCAAGCACATGTTATGATGCAGGCCCAGTTTCTACCAATATTAACCTTTTTCAAGTCTTAAAGCAACTAAAAATTGGGCTGCAAAAGGTATAAGAGCCCTGCAGTACTATGAATGGGGCAAGGCAAGTCACAAGGTGCTGATTCTGTGAGACCTACTCACTAATTTGATTATTTTTTTTAAGGTTTGTACACTATAATAGGGGTCTATTCACTTAGCTGCCGTAGGCAGCCGAGTGAATGACCGACCTGAAGTGAAGTGAGCCGAACGCTGTTCTGCTATTTACTTCAGGCTGGTACGGCTGATTTCAGCCGTACATTGGCTGAAATTAGCCGTACATCGGCTTGCTTCACGTGGCTTCGGGTCGGCCGAACATGCTCAGTGCAGAAGGAGTGCAGAAGGAGTTTGACTCAGCCGATCCAACATCTGGATCGGCTGAGCCGAACCTCCGGCAGGCTACTCACTGCTGTTTGGCCTATTCTTAAAGATGCCGAACAGCAGTGAGTGAATAGCCGAATGCCGCTGAGCGACATTTGGCTCGGCTGTTCTGCTCGGTCCCTCAGAGGTACCGAGCAGAACAGAAAAAGAGTTAAAAAAAGGTAAAAAAAAAGTAAATAGAAAACGATTGTGCAGAGCTAGCAGTGACAGCTAGCTCCGCCCAATAGTTTCCTATTGTCCGGCGGCTCTGCTGCTGTAAAAACAAAACGGAAAAAAACTCTCCCGGGCGCTCTGGGAGCCTCCCGCTCCCGGCCGCCCAGGAGAGAAACACTGCTGTGTCTTTTTTTCTTTATTCTGACACGAGCAATGTCAGAATATAAAAAAAAAGACATTTTCTAGCACGGCTCAGCCGAGCCGATGCATATGCGTTCGGCTGGACTGAGCCGCTCGGCCATGTTCAGGAGTTGTACGGGCTATTGTGAACTGCCCGTACAGCACCCCTTCGGTTCTACTGAACCGAAGGGGTCCTGGGGCCGAAGCTAGCCGAAGGATCGGCTGAAGCTACGGCCAGATCCTTTGGCAGCTTCGTGAATAGACCCCTATGTAATATTTTGGGGGAAAGAATAAACACCCTTTTTCCTGACAACACTAGAGACATCTGCTTTGCTTTTTCTTCTAGTACCAGCATAGATCTTACTAAAGGGTCTATTTATAAAGTCGGAAATGGCTGTTTCACTGACTCTTTCATCAAAATATATCATTCCAATAGTTTTGCACACCTACAATGTAATTATAATACATTTTACCACTTGTTTTCCCCCAAGGTACATGAAATCCTACCAAAGCCATTTTTCAGATAACTTAGTTAGAATATAGGAACCTTTCAACATTTTTCTCACCATAGTAACATTAGGAACTTGTTGAAAACCCTATTCTAAGTACATGCCAATTAATATGAAGTTGTTCCCCCACCTCCCTTAGTCTACAACAGTCTCCACTATTCTGAAAAGACTTTCCATAAGATTTTGGGGTGTTTGCCAGAATTTGTGCCCGTTTAGCCAAAATAATATTTGTGAGGTCAGGTACTGATGTTGGATTAGAAGACCTGGCTCACATTTAGTGTTCCAATTAATTGCAAAAGTGTTCAGGGTTGAGATTAGGGCTCTGTAAAGGCCACTCGTGTTGGTTCCTAGCATACTCATCAAGCCATGTTTTTTTGGAGCTGTCTTGGTGCACAGGGGCACAGTCATTCTGGAACAGTTGATATTATGCTAATAATATACAACTGATATTATAATTAATAATTATAATTAATTAATTAATAATATACAGTTGATATTATGCTAATAATTATAACCATAAAGGAATATAAAAGACTCTAGTTAAAATTAATCTACAACTGTTTCGGAACAGTTGATCCAGTCAGCCAAATTAATAATTAGATTTATTGTAAACACATGTGGAGAGAATAGCACATACCAATATATACTATGAAGTGATAAAGAAAGTTAGAGAAAAAACTCAGTACAACCCCTTGGTGGAAAAGTAGGTTTATCAACATTAAAATGATTTTCCCTAAATGTAAATACTACAGTTGGCTACATGGCAAGGCTAATGAGGTATGTAAACGCCAATCTAAGAGCATTGAATATCTGGATTTGTGGACTAAGATTGGTCTAATAAAACTGATTGGTTGCATTACTGCTGGGAAGGGGCAGTAGGGAAATAATTGGGAGAGGAATCTGAGGCGAGGGGATGGGAAAGGTGTGGGTGTGTTAGTGGTTGGGGTAGGGAAAGGGGTGTGGAATAGACAAAAGAAAGATATTATAGCATTAAAGGGTTATGTCACCTTTAGGCACATTTCCTAAAACATTTCCCCAAACTGTGCCTGGGCGACCTCAAGATAGAACAAATGAGCCCTGTGGTTCTTTTACACACTGCACATGCAGAGTATGCTCTCTTCCCTTTAGCGATGGCAGCAGCTGTTACACCTACTAAAAGGTGAACTGACCCTTTAGGTAGGGAGGGTAACTGAGACTACTTGAGAGAGAAGAAAAAGAAAAGGAGAAAGAGCAAAAAAGTGGGGTGAGACTTCTGTAGATGAGCTGGGGTTAACAGATATATTAGATTCTTAGAGGGGGTCTATCAAAATTTGCTGGTGAGTAGTGAGCAATCATTGGAGTCCAAATCAAACTGAACTTAATGAGTTTATAATTTCAAGACAATACCAAGCTTAAAATATGTTCCAATCTCGTGCCACCCAAGGCTGTTTATGGTTCATACTTCCACAGTCTCAGACAAAAATAAATACCTTCAAAAATAGAGTTAAAAATACCCAATTCAGTTATATTGCCTTTATAGCTTAGTCTGAAAATAATCGTTAAGACCTGATGTGCCAAACTCACTGCACCAAATCAACACAAGGAGGTCACCTAAAGGTTTATGGCTAAAGCTTTGCTCAAGTTTGTTGTCAACCAGCATATAAGCCATAGGAACTTGTTAGAATTTCAGAAGATAATGGAAACATTCCCCAGCATTCACCAATTGAGTTTATGACTTTATTGAGTCATCAGGGTGACATACAGTGAAGCAGCAAGATGGAAACTCCAATGTGTTCCCAAACTTCTGTTTTCATAAGCCTTGGGGTGTTCAGTCACTGGCTGTCTGCATTATATCCTGCTGTGTCGGCTTCAATATATATCACCCTGCTGATTTTAATCACAAGCTTAAATGGTGAAAGCCACATAGCTAATTCATTATCTCTTGAATATTGTTTACAGCCATGGTTCTCAATTGGTGGGTCGTGAACCCATGTTCAGTGGGTCACCGCATGCCTTCCACTGCACTAGGTCAGAGGGTTCAGCCTCCCCCATAGTGCAACACTGTCAGTTCTCATGCATGGCAGCCATTCAAAATATGCTGCCCAGCGCCGAGTGTCAGCTTAAAGTGGGGTGGGCTGGAGATATGGCCGCGAGAGAGCTCCATCCATACATGCATTGCTTACAGCTCCTGGCGTGACGTCACATTCTGGCTCCCGACACCTCTGGGGGAGTGCAAGGGAGCAGTACAAGAAATGCACATATGGATGGAGCTCTGTCAAAGCACAGCAGCCTACACTGAACCCCTAAAACATTTTCGGAAGTGTGTATGTGTGCTAGAATGTCTGTGAGTGTGTGAGATTGTGTCTGTGGTTGTGTGTGTCTGCCAGTGTTTTATTCGCAAACTACCACACAATTGCACCTACTGTTCGTTCTGGTGCGGGAGGTGCATTGCAGTTCATTTGAATGGCACCTCAAACACACCTCTAGCCCACAGTTTAATCGATTGCACCGGAACATGCGGTACTGCAATGCTATGCGTACCAGTGTGGTGCAACTTGGGTCGCGATTTAATAACCAAGGACAAATGTGGGTCCTGAGGTTATACAGGTTGAGAACCACTGCTTTAGAGGGTGAGAGATAGGTTTTGGGGTTAAATTTGGGTAATGTCCAAATATACCCAATAAATCGGACTGACGAGTGTTCAGCACAAAGACCCACTTCATAGTAGTAGTAATACAACCATTCATTGTAATGGCCTGCCACCAACTAGGTAATAGGGGAGAACCTACACAACTTTTCTGTCACATATCAATGCTGCAATCTGTTTATGAGATATGAAAGTGGAGACAATACTGTTCATCCAGCCAAATTAATGTAAGATCACACACTTATATACATACCTGAAAAAGATAAGAGATTTTTGATTTATAGTTTTATTGCTATTGTTAGAGAAATTGTTTAGAAATCACATTAGGACATTGTGTTAACTTGTTGGCCACCACTAAAAAAAACAACACATGTATTTTCAGTTTCGTGTCCGTTCACTAGAACAGCCCTCCCAGTTCGGAGGACAGAGCTGTGAGGGACTGCTCTCAGATTCCCGCCCATGCATTCCAACAAAACTTTGCAATATAGAAGAAGCAGACTGCACTAAAAAGTTCAAATGTGCAACAGGTGAGTTTGCATGTATTTTTTTTTATTCTTCTTCTTTGGTTATCTTTTTGAGAGTGTCATTGAGAAAACAGTAGATGGTCACCTTTTGATTCAGGATCCTAAATGGGTTCCTTTAAAAAAAACATGGGTTTCCTAGATTATAACCTATTAAATTGTGATCTGTTGGAAAGGGTTTTGGGGGTTCCAGGTTGAGCACATCTATATTTAAATATCATTATTGCCATTTCCTTCCTCCCTCTAAACGAAATATAAATGGAAAGATCATAACCTTCCCTGGATTGATAATTTGGATGACTAGCTTTTTTGCCAAACTGTGGACATGTGTAAATGGCTATTCCTATGATGAGGCTGTTTTGAAAAAATAGATATCAAACATGTCAACCTGAAAAAATGTGTGATTCCGCAAAATGTTGAGGAAAAAAATGATACACATCATTTCCATAGGTGACACCTTAAAAGCCTTTACATTTCCTGAGGCTGCAGCCAAAAGTGGGAGGATTTCAGCAGCAGAGGCACGTCTGCCAATCCAGAAAGCAGTAAGCAGCACTAGAGATGGTCAGATGCTGAATGACAAGCTACAGGCTTATGAATCAGCAAAGATAATGCTCATTGGCACACCACCTGCAACATATTCTCATCCCACTGCAGTGCAAGCAGGCTTAGCCTACATGAGGGTGACAATGCTCCTCTGAATTTGAAAGCAATGCAGCATAATTGCCATCGTCTCACCTGTCGCGTTGAAGGTGAAATATTCTTGTAGGTCCGAAGAGAGTGCGTCAACGTTGTGTGCTTCTTTGAGTAGGGAGGGGTTCAGTCGGCACGAAGATTGCCGTAAGGATGGGGGGAAGATAGAGAAGGTAGCTGAGACTGGGGCAGAGGAGACAATGTTCCCTATTGTAGAGGAACGAAGTCTGGGAAGGTCTGACTGAGACACAAAGATATAATCTATTCTAGAATATTTAGTGTGAATGTGGGAGTAGTACGTGTAGTCTCTGCCGGTGGGATTGAGTGTCCTCCAGGTGTCGCAAAGGTGTAGGGACTGTAGGCGCTTTTTCATGAATTTGAGAGTTCGGTAGGGTAGGGAAGATTTGCCATCTGAGGTATCTATTAGAGGGTCTAAAGGGGCATTGAAGTCCCCGCCTATCACGAGCATTCCTTCAGTGAAGTCCGAGAGCTGAGGTATAAATTTGTTTAGGAACGTGGCATGGTGCTTGTTTGGTGAGTAAACTGAAGCAATTGTGAGGGGAGTTTGGCCTAGGAGGCCTTTCAGGGCGAGGTATCTCCCATCTGGGTCTTTGAGTACCCCTTGGACTTGAAATGGTGTATGTTTGTGCAGGAGGATGGCTACTCCCCGGGATTTGTTGGAGGGTGAGGATGCATGGTATACTGAGTGGTAGTGATGGTTGATAAGTTTAGGTATCTTGTCATGTTTGAAATGTGTTTCTTGAAGCAGAGCAATAGAGGCCGACTGTTTGTGTAGGTCACCTAAGATTACGGAGCGCTTTTCGGGTGCATTAAGACCTTTTGCGTTGAGAGAAACCACTTTCAGGTCGGATACATCCCCCATTGTCCCAATCCCAGGTGGATAGGGGGGGGGGCAGCGGGAGGGGAAAGGGGGAGGGGGGAGAGGTAGGATGAGGGGCGGTTAGAAATAACGACGTGGGAAGGAGGGAGAGGGAAGAGGTAAGAAGAGTAGTATGGAGAGTGAACAGTCGAGAATAAACCCCAGAGATGTCCCCTATTGTGCAATACACAGCCGCGTATTGCAGTCTTGGGGTGTAACTTGTATCGTGGGGTGTTTAGGGGGCGGTCAAGCCTGTGGGTATGGTTGTGTGGCGAAGGTAAATGGAGAACAATGACCGTCTCACATGAGGGGTGGGACAACCGCGGCTAGGCTGTCAAGGAGATGTCAGGAGAGTATCCTGCATCGCTCTGCGACCCAGCATAAGCTGCGGTGCGGAGAGAGCAAGTGGCATGAGGTCCCATGGACAACATATGTGGGGAGTGCGAGCAGTTCAAGTTATGAAGGGTCATAGCAGGAGGGATTGGTGGCGAGGCACATGAGGTACGTGGGGAGCAGGTCTAGTGGGTAAGTAACCTGTAAGTATCTTAACATGTAAACAGAGATCTAAATCATAAACAATAAACTTAGCAAGCCTCAAGGGGGCTGAACACGCCACAACGGAGCAGCTGTGGGTCTCTCTCCCTGCGTTACGACCTATGGCGCAGGTCGAGGGAGCCAGTGGGGCACTCCGGATCCCACCCCCTGCACCCCCCTGTAACCAGGAGGCGCAGAGAGGTCAGATCCAGCTACCAGGTTCAAGGAATAGGAGGGAGCAAGTAAGACATGAGGGTATATATTTCTTAGATAAGGTGGGGGCATACTCATCCCATGATAAGCTGTCCTGTGGTAGGGGATATCTGGGTGGTGTCATATGTAAATGATCCCATGATGACAGAGGCACTCTAGTAAGGGACACAGGGCCCTGCGTTGCTGTAGTGTGTGTAGGGAGAGATCCTGGAAGAGCTTCACCTCCACTCCCTCATGGAATACCGCTCCTCTGCGTCTGGCCCGTTGTAGGATGTCTTCCTTCAATGGGAAACTCTGGAGACAGCCAATGATGTCGCTAGGCATATCATCCATCGCATTTCTAGGCCTTAGAGCGCGGTGTGCTCTCACGAATTCAATCGGAGAGTCCAGAGGCCTCTCCAGCAGGTCATTGAAGAGCTGGAGTAGGTGGGTACTGCGTCCGGCATTATGGATTCTGGAAGCCCACGGACTCTTATGTTGGACCTGCGGCCTCTGTTGTCCAGGTCCTCTAGTTGGCGTCTCATGTTAATGAGGGAGTGAGTGGTAGAGTCCTGGTGCGAGCGGAGTCTGCTGAGGGCGACATCTCTAGCCTCTCCTGCACGTTCCACTACACTCAACCTCTTGCCAATATCGCGGATGTTATCCCGCTGCTCAATCACCGCTGTGTACAGGGTTTCTTTAATATCCTCTGCAATGGAGGACAGGTCGGACCGGGTCGGTAAATGCTTGATATAGGAATTTAAGGAGTCGTCTGCCGGGTAGTGGTTCGGGGCCTGGGCCTTGCGGGAGGTTGTCGCCGCCATATTGGGAGGTGACGTCTCAGGGGCATCGTGGCGTTGGGAGCGAAATATCTCCGGTACCTGCATGTTTTGCGGATTTTGCGAGTTCCCTTTTGTGGGGGGCACTTTCGTCGGGGGATATTGCGGGCCGATCTTCCCCATGTCGTCTTCGGGAGCGCTTCAGAAGCTAATTTTGGGTGCAGACGGGCAGGAACTCTAAAATTAGGCTGCCATCTCGCTTGCCGCGGAAACCACGCCCCCCAGGGACCTCTTTTATGTGCTACTGAGCCCCTTCAGCATTCACCCAATGCTCTGTGATGTCTGCAGGTGTTCCTGACACTGCTGGCAGGTCACTCCAGAATGCCACATCTCCTAGGATCCAACGATCTTCCTCTGGGAGGACTCTGCAAGCCCCTTACTCAGCGCATCATCTTGCCTGGCTATCCTTCTGCCAAGCCAACCCAACCAGTTGCCTAGGACTGTCAGATGCCTACAGTTTCCTTGTGTAGTGTCTTTTTATGTGCCCATGATTGCTGCGCTGTGAACTGCTGGCCTGTTATTGCTGCCCTGTGGTTGTTGTTATGTGTTCTTGCTGTATTTCCTTTGTTATGCCAAGTTGCCACCATACTGTTGCCTATCCCTTGTCATGCCCTGGATTCACACCTTGTTGCTGCATGCTATTTCCCTCTTGTAATCTTGCTGAGTCTCCCTTGCTGTACAACACTGTTATCCTATACCACCCTTATGTGAACCGTAATGCTCCAAAACAATACCCCGCATGTTGGGTCCCATGTGGATCATCTCTGTGCGCTCTTTCTCTGCATTCCTAGTTCTCCAAACATAGGGTTAGCGGTAGACATGTGCACCGGCAAAAAATGTGTTTAGTTTCGGTTTGATTCGGATTTTGCGTTATTTCGTTTTTCGGGATTAGGGTCCGAAAGTCATTCTGATTTGGACGGAATTCATTACGGCAGTCTGTACGACATTCATTTAATTCTCATTGTGTTCGTTTGTTGCAGCAAAGTGACATTTGAGGGGAATTTTTTTTTTCTCAAATGTCACTTTGCTGCAACAAAATTTTGTCCAACAAACAAATTTTCGTACAGACTACCCAGGGCCGTCTTTACCGCAGGGCAAAAGGGGAACTGCCCTGGGCCCCATAATTTACAGGGGCCCACAGCAGCTGTCCCTTTCGCTCGCAGCAGCAGACAGGAGAGTAGCGGCACTGCTGGTGGCAGGGGCGGACTGAGAGTCTGCTGGCATGGTGCTAGTATAGGTAGCTGCCTAGGGGGTGGGGGCAGTTATTGGCAGGTGGTGGCCACTGGATCTGTAGGGCACACAGCCCTGAGAGGCACAGCTGGAGCCAATAGAGACCCGAGCGGCTTAATGAGGAAGGAGCCTCCGCTGATCGGTGAGTGCTGGGAGCAGCTGGAGCTGGGCACATCTCTACCCATTGTCTGCAGCTCCAAAGAGCGAAGCGCCCGGCTGCCAAAGGATGATGCTGGGGATGGGAAGGGGAGCCCAGCCTGGGAGGGATGCTGGCTGTGGACAGGAGTGGTGTGCGGGACATCCCCTGGTTTCATCATATTATTATGTTATTATTATTATTATGTCCCTTGGTGTCATTATTATTATGTCCCCTGGTGTCATTATTATTGGGTCCCCCCTGTTGTCGTTAATATTGGGTCCCCCTAGTGTCATTATTATTGTGTCTCCCCTGGTGTCATTATTATTGGGTCCCCCCTGGTGTCATTATTATTGGGTCCCCACGGTGTCATTATTATTGTGTCCCCCTGGTGTCAATATAATTGTGTTCCCCTGGTGTCGTTCTTATTGTGTCCCCTGGTGTCGTTCTTATTGTGTCCTCTGGTGTCTTTATTATTGTGGTCCCCTGGTGTCCCCATTATTGTGTCCCCCTAGTGTTATTATTGTGTCATCTTGTGTCCCCCTGGTGTCATTATTATTGTGTCCCCCAGGTGTCATTAGTCGACTCTATTGATTGAGAACTGAGTAGTCAAATACTGCTGATCACTCAGTTCCTACACTCACTCTTTCTGCAGAGAGCGGTGACTGTCAGTCACCTCTCCCCGCAGGGATTCCCCACTCCCCTCTTTGATCCTCCAGCACTGACTGGAGGGACGGATGGGGAGGGTGTGGACATAGCCTCTAGAGAGGCAGAGTCAGCTGTCAATCAGGTGGTAGGGTGGATCTGGCAATATTTTTTACATCCATCCCAGCTTCAGCGCGGCTGTGCGCCATCAGCATATAGCGGGCAATATTGCATGGGGGGAGCATGGCATGCAGGGGGTGGGGCGTGGTGAGGGGCCCAAGAAAATGTTTGCCCGGGGTCCCATCAATATTAAAGGCGGCCCTGAGACTACCGCTAACGGATTTCGGAATCGGAAATTCGGATTAGTTTTCATTCAATATATCTGTAATTTGGAATTCGGATACATCCAAATCTCAGAATTTCCGAAATTTCGTCCGAATTTTGATTCGGAACGAAATTAATCGCACATGGCTAGTTAGCGGGAGGAACCACTGAGCATACCAAGGAGGCAGGAGATCAAAAGTTTAGCCAGCAAGTTCAGGACTCACCTACTTCACCATTGGACACAGTAGTGGCATAGGAGTTGGCAGGAGGAACAACAGAGGACTGTAGGGAAACACTCTTAGAAGAGGTAAGTATTTACTATGTTCTTTACAAGGAGACATCTCATTCACAATTAAATTTTAGCTTTAAAATCAGCAGCTACAGAAAACAAACTGTTTACTTGGAGAAAGTGTACAGCGATAACCCGCAGAGACTGGTGCCAACATCTGGTCCGCTCAAGAAGGAACATTCTCATCTGTTTCTTTTGCGATAATTACTACAATCACCTCTGATGTTTCTTGGACAGGAAGCTGAACAGTCAGATCTATCAAAGATAGTACAGCCTCGAAAAATCAGATTTCCTTGGTGGACCAACAGAATTTAACAAACCCCAAGCAAATAATTACAAGTGTGTTCAGTTGAATTTATACAGATAAGTGGCGTGCAGTTTTTGTAACAAAATCTGTTCACAAATCATTTAAATAAATTATTCTGCAAAATGGTGTGAAGTTAATTTAATTTAATGAGATTTCACAAAGCAATCCTTTCTGTGAAATAAACATTTCACTGCTTTAATACTGCACTAGCACGCCACATAAAAAAATGCAGCAAGGACGTTTTTTCTTCATTGCCGTGTGCTGCCTGTCCATTGTAAAATATGCTGCAAGGACTTTTTTTCTTCATTGCTATGTGTTGGCTGCCCATTGTAAAATATGCTGCAAGGATTTTTTTTCTTCATTGATGTGAGTTGGCTGCCTATTGTAAATAAATGTTAAGATTTATATGTATAGATAAAAAGCATGTTCTTATGCCAGACATCTTTGTGTCTAAAACAGGGCGCTGCATTGACTCAAAATTAAAGTGTAATGGAGACAATGACTGCGGAGATAATTCAGATGAGAGGGGATGCGTAAAAAAACCAGACCAAAAGAGAACCTATGAACCTATACCTGGAGCTCAGCTTATGGGAAATGGGTAATACAGCATCTACACTTAATAATATCATAATTGAACTTAGCAAATGGTGCCTGTTATAAATACATTATGGAAGGGTTATTTACAATTGCACTTTTTATAGGTTATTCATTTAAGAACGTTATAAAGATGATACATCACTTTTGAAATATATTAACCTTAAATCAGTTTAATGAAATCCCTAATGACTAGTGCTACAACTTTCCATAGAAATGGCCTGACTCTTAACTAAAGCTGGGTGTACACGTTTAGAATTTTGTTTGAAAACAATTGTTTTTGACCACAGTGACAAAAAAAATCAAAGAAGCAGGATGGAAAAATGTTTTAGGAACTAACTAAATTGTAACAGTGAATGTGATTTTCGTTCAGGTTACTTGTCGTTTCAACAACAATCGTCAGGTCTCTGATAGCATTACTGATGTTCTGGCCAGATTTTTTGTACGAACGTTCAGACGAAATTCTAACTGTGTTTACCAAGCTTTAGAGTCCGGCTTAAGGGCTTCCCTTTAAAGCAAAATAAAGCGTAAAAATGGCTAGGGGTATGTAGATTTTTTTGTCAAAGAGCAAACTTTGTATGTTCTCTTTCCCTGTAAAATGGCCGAGAGTGAGCCGACATTAAAAAAAGGCATTCATTCTAGAAGAAGAAGCAGAGAGAATACCGGAGGCAAAGCAGCGCTAGGAAGTTGTCATTGCTGGAGGGCAGCAAACCTAGATGTTAGTTTGCTACAATGTGCTACTATTCTGTGGACATTATGGCAAGTGCTTTAGCAGCCCTCCAGCTTACGTTCCGCTTTAGGCTATTCACACTACATACCTCTGTTCTACATTTGTTGTCCTTCTAACCTCCATGGTTCCTTCAAAGAAAATAAGACTCTCCCTTGACTTTTTAAGGGGGCTATAACCTGTCACAACTAAGGCAGCTACCCAGTTCTGACATTTCAAACTGCTGACTCCAAGAAACAGTTTCAGAGCAGACACATCACTGTGAAAATTGCTGCTTTAGGTCTGTTGTCACTGGAACTAGATCTATCCAGCAGGAGAAAGATAGTCTCCAACACTTATGGGGGCCTGGGATTTGATAGGTGTAGTGATTGGACTTGGAGTTACCCCAAGCTGGATTCATAACTTTTTTGTTTATTCAGATTTTATAAGTATGTGTACATTTCTAGAGAAGAATAAGTTCATGGCTCTGACCATTACATATAAAGTGCATAAGTTCAAACTCTATTTACCCTAGTCATCTTCCACTCAGCAGTAAGTTAACAAGTTAGGGTTGGATTTATTACTAATACTGTATATAAAATATCATAAGTTCAGTTATATTCCCCATTGAATCCGCACTTTGTGTATAGCTTGCATTTTTTTAATCTTTTCTCTATTCTAGATATAATTACCTCTCCGGTGAGAGCAGAGGGGAAATTTTTGACAACTCGTTCTATGGTGGAAAGCCTGCCAAAAGTTTTGGAAATGAAACAGGGCCAAACCGTAAATTCTATCGACTCCCTGCCAACCTGGAAAGTTTCACATTCCAGGTACAATGTGCACGTTCTAAAAAGCTGAAAGAGTCAGTCCAGACTAAACTGATGTTTTAAATATTGATGGACACTGATGGTTTGGTTCACTAACTGGCTCCTTAAAGGAACACTAAACTGAGTTTATCTTTAAAGTTAAATCTAGATCAGAGTTAAATCTTTAAAATGCATTCAAGTACCTTACCTATTAACAATACTGTACCTTATTTGTGTATTACCCAGCTGTAGACCCTCAAATCATCTCTGAATTGGTACTGACACTGTCCTTCCTTCTGGAGGGTGGCTACTTATGTTCCCCATGGTCCCTGTGTGTGTTGTAAAGTAGTCACTGCTCCAAGCTCACTCCCGTGATAGACTACAATCTCAACACAAATTAGTATATTAAACATGAGATTGCAGTCCATCATGGGATGGAGTTTGGAGCATTGGCATATAATGTATGGTTCTTGAGATCTTCAGCCAAATGTGGAACAAATAATCTAGTTATTTAAAGTAGGGATGTCCTGATACCACTTTTTCAAGACCAAGACCAAGTACAAGTACTTCCCCTCATGTACTTGCCGATGCCAATAACCGATACTTTTTCTTAAAGGGACAGGTGACATTTAAAAAAAATACAGACTGATGATTTTAGGCCAATTTCTTTATGATTATGAAGAACTTTAATTTAAGATTGTTTTAGAACCATAAAACATTTGTATTTGCTTTCACACAGCTGTACTGAAACTACAAATCTGATCATGCATCTGCCTCTGGGATCATTTAGCCTATTCATGTTAGCAGGGAAGAATTGTAATTCTATTGCTGCAGTGTACTGGAAGTGTGTGCTGTGAATCATTTAACCTGGTACACACTTCCAGTACACTGCAGTAATAGAGTTACAATTCTGCCCTGCTAACATGAATAGGTTAAATGATCCCTAGTACAATGACATATTATGTACTATTATGTACAATGGATCATGATTTAACCTATTCATGTTAGTAGGGGAGAATTGTAAATCTATTGCTGCATGGTAGTGGAAGTGTGTACTGTATGTACTACATATACAGTACACACTTCCAGTACACTGTAGCAATAGATTTACAGCCAGCCCTGTCCCAGCTTCCCTCACTCACAGTTTCACATCAATCCCTGTTGCCTCATGCGGTGCCTTCCCGTAGTCGGCACTGGGCAAGATCGCTGTATCGTGTCTCTTGTGGGGGGCGCTCACAATTTTCCCCTGCTAACATGAATAGGTTAAATCATGATAAATAGTACATATACAGTACACACGTCCAGTACACTGCAGTCTGCAGCAATAGAGTTACAATTCTCCCCTGCTAACATGAATAGGTTAAATGATTCATAGTACAACTATATACATATTATGTACTATGGATCATTTAACCTCTATTCATGTTAGCAGGAGAGAATTGTAACTCTATTACTGCAGTGTACTGGAAGTGTGCTGTGGATCATTTAACCTGGTACACCCTTCCAGTACAATGCAGTAATAGAGTTACAATTCTCTCCTGCTAACATGAATAGAGGTTAAATGATCCATAGTACATAATATGTATATAGTTGTACTATGAATCATTTAACCTATTCATGTTAGCAGGGGATCATTGTAAATCTATTGCTGCAGTGTATTGGCAGTGTGTACTGTATATATGTACAACATATAGTGTACACTGCAGCAATAGAGTTACAATTCTCCCCTGCTAACATGAATAGGTAAAATGATCCATAGTACAAATACATGTTATGAACTATTATGTACTATGGATCATTTAACCCATTCATATTAGCAGCGGATCAGCAGGGGATAGATCTATTGCTGCAGTGTACTCTATATGTAGTACATATATACTGTACACACTCCCTATACACTGCAGGTAATAGATTTACAATGATCCTCTGTTTCTTGACACTTCCACTGCTAAACCCAGCATAGGCCCAGTCTCACTTACTGCTGAACGATGGCTGTCCGATCGAAGTGCCTCAGCATGTGCCTCACGTTTGCTGTAGTAGTCGGCGCTGGGCGTGAGAACAGCGGCGCATCACTGCTGGTCTTGTGGGCGCGCTGCATGTGGGGTCCTAATTTAGCTGCCGGGCAGGCTGCCCAGAGGACCCCAACACGCGCAGTACCTCTGGGCAGCCTGAAGCTACAAAAAAAAAACCATAGCGCAAGCATCGCCACTATGTATCGGGGCATTTTCACAAGTACAAGTACTTGTGCAAATGCCCTGTATCGGTCCCGATACCGATGTTAGTATCGGTATAGGGACATCCCTAATTTAAAGTATACCTAAACTCTAATTGGATGACATTTAGTTTGTATGCATGTGGACAGGAAGTGGCTACAAAAGGATTCAGATCAGAAGTAATGATATAAAAAAAAAGAATATAGAAAAGTTGAAAACAGTATTTTGTGAAAAAAATAGCATTGCAATTGTATATGACATATTGCTTTTGCAAACTAAATATCATCCAGGTATGGTTTAGTTATACTGTAAAATAACCGGATTACTTGTTCTACATACTGCTGAAGTTCCCAAGAGCCATACAAAGCTGGTGGGTGATTACACTGATGGACATCTACCTCCCACTAAAATATGTTAGTGTACAACCCTCCAAGCAGCTGTAGCACCCTGTAAGCAGTAGTTAAGTTTAGTATTTATGTTAAATTTAGTATTGCCAATTTGTAATCAGTCTGTAATGCTGTCAGTTTGTAATGCTGATCTATAGTCTATGCTCATTTGGTTTCCCCTAATCAATCTGTTACTGTTTGCATCTGCCTTCTGCTAGGTGTATCCTTGCTACAGAGCAGAGCAAGCAATACGAGATTGTTATGAATATTTATGTTTATCTAGCCAATCACTAGAAGGTTCATGGCCAGTGGTGGATGCTGGGGGAGGACATAAATATTTGGGGAGGACCATGTGGGATGCTTTTTCTTCCCCCGGGCACCGGCCTGGGGATTGGCTGTTATGGACTTAAATTTTGGCCAGGCCTGAAGCATGGGGGCCAAGCCATGTTCTCTCATTGAGGCCTTAGTCTGGGGCCCAGTGACTGATACTAAAGTTGAAGATGATTGGTGACTTCTGATTCAAGTACTGCTTAGCCTGATTCAAGTACTGCTCTAAACACAGATTACCACATTTGGCTTAAAGGTCCTAGTCTGTGATGGCAGCAGATACTTTGTTCTACCACTTAAAGGAGTCTACATCATCCTGGATGTTCTTTGCCCTAACCCTCTCTCCCTGAAGTTCTACAATAAAGTTCCTTCAGCATCATATTTACAGTCTGGTTCTCAGCTTTATTGGTCGCCACAGAAGTGTGGTAAGTGCTAAACGGGCAGCCAGGTTGCTAAAATCACTAGACAGGCTAAGGAAGACCTGTTTATCCAGGAACACCTTCAGGAGTGAGCGCTACACAGCTACAGTGGGAATTGGAGGTAAGAAATGAGCACAGCTCTAATGATATTAAATATGCCGGTCCTGTTTTCCCCACAGGTGAAAGACGAGGAAGACGATGTTGTATCTGATTTCTACAACAGTATGAACGATTTTAACAAAGACATTAAAACTCAAGATGCAAGCCAGTCGTCTGGCAGAGGCTCTTCGGGAATCCCATTTCTCTTTCATAGGAAAAGTAACACGAGGAGGACCTCAAGTTCATCCTTTAAGGAAGCTTTAAGCTCATCATACAAAAAGGTATGCAACAATTTTACTGTATGATACATGATAATATGAACAGAAATTTTAAGACTATATCCTAAAATGATATTAAAATAAGCTGCTGTCCAATGGAGATGTAATGTGTTATCAGTGCAAGGGTGGCCAGAATTTTCAGTGGCGTTACAGGAAAGGGAGGTGATTTAACTGATGTAAAGTTTAAATTGAATGTTCTCGCCCAGATCCTAATCAAATTGCTGTTATCCCAAACTACAGTCCATCAACATAGTGGTTTATGTCAGAGTACACTCTGTGCCAGCAATACAAATGCTGTCAGTGGAAAATATCCTGGAAAGATGCACGAAATGAAACAAATACGTGTGGTGCAAAAGACAGTGTTATCAATCTTTTTATTACATGAAATATAAAAATCTAAATAATTGCCCCTACAGTACCATCAGAAAACACTGCTCAGGGATCCCAAACTGAAATAAGTAATTTCAGGGAGGTGCACTTCTTATTTCAGGGAGGTGCCCTCTGCCGCCCCCAACGGGGGGTGTAACAACAAGGAAGTGAGCACCCCCCTGAAATGATGGCAGATGCAAAGAAGCTAAAGCTTCCCTTGCTATCTGCTGCCGTCAGCATAATACAAAAAAAAAACATAGGAATGAATAGCTAGATTGCTATTGGCTATTTCAATTTGCAATAGCCAATAGTAAGCTGGCTATTGCATCTGCCCTCTGCTGCTGTCAGTCAGTAAAGGAGGACCTGATGGAAAACTTCAGGTCCACCTCTGCTGATTGACAGCAGCAGTGGGCGGATGCAATAGCTGGTCTGCTATTGGCTATTACAATTTGCAATAGCCAATAGCAATCTAGCTATTCGTTCCTATGCCGTTTTTTTTTTCTGACTGACGGCGGCCAACGGCCCCAAAGTCAGGAAAAAAAAAAAAAA